CTACCCGTATGATGTTTCACAGTACAACACTTCAGTACCACTAATTACTTGTATGTTTCACAGTACAACACTTCAGTACCACTAATTACTTGTATGTGTCACAGCACAACACTCCAGTACCACTAACTACCTGTATGATGTGTCACAGTACAACACTTCAGTACCACTAATTACTTGTATGTGTCACAGTACAACACTTCAGTACCACTAACTACCTATATGATGTGTCACAGTACAACACTTCAGTACCACTAACTACCTACATGATGTGTAACAGTACAACACTTTAGTACCACTAATTACTTGTATGTGTCACAGTACAACACTTCAGTACCACTAATTACTTGTATGTGTCACAGTACAACACTTTAGTACCACTAATTACTTGTATGTGTCACAGTACAACACTTCAGTACCACTAACTACCTATATGATGTACACACACTTCTATTATACAGTGATACTAACTTTAGAAATAAGTTCTATTATAAAATGTGATTTTAGACAATATGATGTACTATAATAAGTAATTCTGACTACAGTTTTTAGAATAACACATGGATTATAAAATGAGTTTCTAAGAAAAGAAAATTAGACGAACCTGAAACTCCTCTAAGCGAGCTCTTTTCTTGATTAGGTCTGCTTGAAGTGTCAGGAATGACTGCAGAAGTGGCTCTGTTTCTTCTACCCACTTAGAACACTTCTTAAACTGTTCTTCATATTCATTCCACTTAACCATACCAACATCAATGGATGACTTCATCTCATCCACATTGGCTTTGAATTGCTTGTACTCTTCTTCAATTCTCTTTACATCCATGTCAATTACATCTTTCTCAGCTTGCTCTTCAAGTTGTTGCTTAGTTTGTTCACTTAATTCTAAAGCATGATTTAGTTTCTGTAATCCTTCATCCTGCTCAGCTTGCAGCACCTACAGATCAAGGTAAACATTAGTAATATTTGTTAATGTGTCACATTCTCCTACGGCAGCTCTGATCATTACTACTCAACCATAATTCTTATACCAAACTTCAAGTGAACATTACTAGCATTTATTAATGTTTCACACTCATCACAACAGCTATCTATTCATAGATTTTATACAAAAAAACTTCAAGTAAATATTATATAAAACAGGCAATATCTGATATGTACAGCTACAAATAGTATGTAGGAAAACTACATATTTCCACATACCTTGATTTTACTAGTTTTTCCTTTCAATACCTCCTTGTCACCAGATGGTTGAGCACACTTACTGAGCTTTTCTTTAGCAGTATTTAGCCAACGTCCAAATTCAGAACAAGCATCAACAAACTGCTGATAGATATCCATCTGTGTTTTCTGTTCACCCATGTATTCCTGTAGAACATAAATTTCAGTGAATAAGAGAAACATAAAAATATTTAACTCCCCCTTGTTTGCTGGACCAAGGAATGGTACTTGTCAGTTAATGGGAGAAACATAAAATATTTAACTCCCCTTTGTTTAGTGGACCAAGGAATGGTACTTGTCAGTGAATGAGAGAAACATAAAATATTTAACTCCCCCTTGTTTACTGGACCAAGGAATGGTACTTGTCAGTTAATGGGAGAAACATAAAATATTTAATTCCCCCTTGTTTGCTGGACCAAGGAATCGTACTTGTCAGTTAATGGGAGAAACATAAAATATTTAACTCTCCCTTGTTTACTGGACCAAAAAATGGTACTTGTCAGTTAATGGGAGAAACATAAAATATTTAACTCCCCCTTGTTTACTGGACCAAGGAATGGTACTTGTCAGTTAATGGGAGAAACATAAAATATTTAATTCCCCCTTGTTTGCTGGACCAAGGAATCGTACTTGTCAGTTAATGGGAGAAACATAAAATATTTAACTCACCCTTGCTTGCTGGACCAACGAATGGTACTTGTCTGCAATTTCACCTGCCCCACTCTGTTGTTGCAATTCTTCAGCCTTTGCATTGACTGACTCTATCATTGGTTCAAAGGACTCAATGTCTTGCACAAGACTCTGTATGAACCAATACAAAGGTTTTCTGGATAATACTTGACCAAAACTTTTAATGGTTTCTACTACCCTCAAACTTTACCTTTAAATTTCAATATTAATAATTCTATAATTTGATCAGAAAATTAAACAACAGTTAAAATCATATTCTGCATAAAAACCTTAGAGGATGTAGATAAATTTTTTAGAAGTGTTTCTTTTATTTATGTTCATTCTTTTTTCCCAAACTAAACCCATTTCTGGCCAACTGATAAAAAAAAAGATTTAATTTATGATGTTTAAAACTAAAGTTTTATTTTTCTTTCTGCAACTTTTGTCTCATCATGTAATAAATTAAAGTTTCGTTTTTTTTGACAAAAAAAAAAAAGATTATGATATATGAATTGGATGTATATTTTGATTTCATTACAAAAGATTTTTTATTGTCACCTAATTGTTGGATATACAAGACTGTTTAGTGTAAGTATTATTATTTAATTTATTTTGTTACTTAATATTTAATGATTGTTTAGTTTTTAAGGCAGGAGTGTTAAAGACAGATTGTTTTAAAAGTGTTAGATGTGACAAATTTATTTAAGTAACTACGTACGATAATCGTATTTGTGTTTGCAATTACATTATTATCTAGGCTTTACTAATATTGTTGATGTCATGTTACTCAAATCTTCTGTATTCTTCTTGTTACCTTAACTGAGTATTTTTACGTTATAGCACTGCTCGCGTAGCTTGTTGAAAATTCGAGGCCTCAGTGAACAAAATATATATACAGGTGACTGAGCAAGAGCAAGTAAATAGAGAAAAGTCAAGTCCAGTGAGAGATAATCAGTCAGATCTAGACTGAGTGATTGAAAGTTTAGCTGTGTTGGGTGATTTATAAAGAAGTTAGAAGTTTAGTAAGAAAACATTAAGTAGAAAGTAAAGTTAATTAAAATTCAGTCTGAAAAAAATTAGAAAACATAAAATAAGCTGGCATGTGAGTGATTAACCATAACCATTGATATTTTAGTGACTTTCACAGTTTAATAGAGATAATGAGAATAATTTGTCTTGTCAAAGGGTGTTCTAAAGTAATTGAACCAGTCTGTGTGGACGAAAAAAGACAATTATTTGAAGTTCAAGACACAACTGTGGTAACTCACAGGGTAGCAAAAGTGAATTATTCACTGATACCATTGGGATCAGAGTAGAGAAAAATAGTTTGTCTTGTCAATTGGATTCTAAAGTAACTGAATCTACCTTAGTGGACTTTTGACAAGAAAAGATAATTATTTAGAGTTTAAGATACAACTGTGATATCCATAGTGTAAAGAATTTTTGAACATAGTTTGAATTGTTTTGAATATATTATTTTAAAACAAGTAGAACATGTGCTGTCCATTTATTTTCAAATTTATCACCAACAAGTCACAGACTTATCCTTATCCAACATATACATAAAACCCTGATAATAAAGTACAGTCTAGTTTATGACATTCAAAATGGTTGGATATTTTAATTTCATAACTAAAGAATTTTTCTCTGATCACTTGATACAGTACAGTCTAGTTTATGACATTCAACGTGGTTGGACATTTTAATTTCATAACTAAAGAATTTTTCTCCAGGTACTTGATACAGTACAGTCTAGTTTATGACATTCAATGTGGTTGGATATTTTAATTTCATAACTAAAGCATTTCTCTGGTCACTTGATACAGTGCAGTCTAGTTTATGACATTCAATGTGGTTGGACATTTTGATTTTATAACTAATATTTTCTGAAATATAATCTAGTTTAAAGTTTCTCAAAGGTGGTCATGTGGTACTCTAGTTTGTTGGAAGTGAGTAAGCAATGTGTCATAAAAACATTCTACTTTTCTAAAGCAATTTTAGAAATATACATGTATGTTAGAATAACAATTTCAATGAGATGGCAAAGTGGACATAAAGCCACAAGACAATATATTTCCCACAGTCTACTTTTCAGGTGTTTTATGTGTGGATATATTTTCACCCTACTATGAGTGTAACTAGTAGTGAACCACATATTATGTGTGGCTATACTTTCATCCTACTATGAGTGTAAGTAGTGGTGAACCACATATTATGTGTGGCTATATTTTCACCATACTAGGAGTGTAAGTAGTGGTGAACCACATATTATGTGTGGCTATATTTTCACCATACTAGGAGTGTAAGTAGTGGTGAACCACACATTATGTGTGGCTATACTTTCATCCTACTATAAGTGTATATAGTGGTGAACCACATATTATGTGTGGCTATATTTTCACCCCACAATAAGTGTAATTAGTGGTGAAACACATATTATGTGTGGCTATACCTTCATCCTACTGTGATTGTAACTAGTTCAATTTTTAAGAAACTCATGTTAGTCTTTCTCAGTCTACCTCTAACAACTACAGTTATAATAAAGTTTAATTTTTAAGAAACTCACGTTAGCCTTTCTTAGCCTAGCTCTTCTTTGAGAAACACTATCTCTGCCACTCGTTCCAACCTTCATAGTTTTCACCTGTTGTAACTTCTGGTCGTGATCACTGATCCACTGAGAAAGTCTAGCCTCTGCAGAGCTGTAGTCAGCCCATTGGAGTAGAGCAGACTCCAGGGACACCTGTATGCAATGTATCACAGTCACAAGTTTATAATCAATAACCTAAGGATGATATATAGCAATCTTAATGACTGGAACTATTGACTAAATATGATCGTGATGAGTACCACATTCGCACGTTAACAATCAACAAACTAAGGATGATATATAGCAATCTTAATGACTGGAACTATTGACTAAATATGATCGTGATAAGTATCACATTCGCACATTAACAATCATCAAACTAAGGACGATATATAGCAATCTTAATGACTGGAACTATTGACTAAATATGATCATGATAAGTATCACATTCGCACATTAACAATCAACAAACTAAGGATGATATATAGCAATCTTAATGATTGGAACTATTGACTAAATATGATCGTGATGAGTACCACATTCGCACGTTAACAATCAACAAACTAAGGATGATATATAGCAATCTTAATGACTGGAACTATTGACTAAATATGATCGTGATGAGTACTACATTCGCACGTTAACAATCAACAAACTAAGGATGATATATAGCAATCTTAATGACTGGAACTATTGACTAAATATGATCGTGATGAGTACCACATTCGCACGTTAACAATCAACAAACTAAGGATGATATATAGCAATCTTAATGACTGGAACTATTGACTAAGTATGATCGTGATGAGTACCACATTCACACATTAACAATCAACAAACTAAGGATGATATATAGCAATCTTAATGACTGGAACTATTGACTAAGTATGATCGTGACAAGTATCACATTCGCACATTAACAATCAACAAACTAAGGATGATATATAGCAATCTTAATGACTGGAACTATTGACTAAGTATGATCGTGACAAGTATCACATTTGCACATTAACAATCAACAAACTAAGGATGATATATAGCAATCTTAATGAGTGGAACTATTGACTAAATATGATCGTGATAAGTATCACATTCGCACATTAACAATCATCAAACTAAGGATGATATATAGCAATCTTAATGACTGGAACTATTGACTAAATATGATTGTGATAAGTACCACATTTGCACATTAACAATCATCAAGCTAAGGATGATACATGGTAATGTTAACAACTGTAGCTACCCATTAATTATGATGATTGTAAGTACCACAGTCACATGTAACAATCATAAAACTAAGGATGATATACAGTAATGTTAATGAATAGAGTTACTCACTAAGTATGATCATGGCAAGTACTACATTCACACATTAACAGCAATAGTAATAACTGTAGCTACCTACAAATTATGATCATAAGTACTACAGTTAAATGTTAACAATCATCAAACTTAACATGATATATATAGCAATAGTAACAACTGTAGCTACCCACAAATTATGATCACGATAAGTATTACATTCACACATTAACAATCATTAAACTAAACATGATATATAGCAATAGTAATAACTGTAGCTACCTACAAATTATGATCATGATAAGTACCACAGTTAACTGTTAACAATCATCAAACTTAACATGATAGTTCGCGATAGTAACAACTGTAGCTACCTACAAATTATGATCATGATAAGTACCACAGTTAACTGTTAACAATCATCAAACTTAACATGGTAGTTCGCAATAGTAACAACTGTAACTACCTACAAATTATGATCATGATAAGTACTACAGTTAAATGTTAACAATCATCAAACTTAACATAATATATAGCAATCTTAATTACTGTAGCTACCCACTAATTACCATCATTGTAAGTACCACAGTTAAGTGTTAACAATCAGCAAACTAAGCATGATATATAATAACCTTAAATGAAACATTAAAATAGTAAAATAAATGAGATTAAAAATGGCACATGTGTAAAAGTTTATCAAAATTTAATAGAGCACACTGTTAAAATTTACTGCACAATAAAACAATAATAAGCAGGACACCAAGCCCTGTTAAACATTCTCTTGATGTTTCTGTGGTGATATATACCTCCAACATCAAGAAAAGTAACAATATGAGACTGGTTACATATATACCTTAACAACTGCTTGTGTATATCAGACTTAAGAATTTTCATAATTACCCAAACTATTGTACACTCTACATTTACAAAATGTATATTGACATATTAGAGAATCTGTGGAAATTACAAAAACCATAGTAACATTCTGAATAAAGATTTTGATAATCTACTTTGTAAATAGACAATGTAACAACCTGGTTAATAATGAAAATTATTTAAGTCATGTATGTGCATATGTTATGACATATAAGTCACATTTGGAGTATTGTGTTCAGTCTTGGGTTTCTTACCTTAGAGTTCAGAAGAGGGCGACTAAGATGGTACCTGAGATGGAAAGGTTGTTATACAAGAAAAGATTAAGATCTGTTTTCTCTTGAAAAAAGAAGAGTTAGGGGGGATCTGTTTGAGGTGTTTCAGACTTTTAAGGGAAGTTAACATTTCATTACATTCAAAATGTATTTCCGATAGGTACTTACCTCAACTCACCCAAAGCTATCTTGATCCTGGTTTGCCCTCTAAGCATTACTAAAAAACATTTTGCCAACAGTGCACCAGTCTTTTATACCCCATCAGTTTCACAACATGTGCTGATCATATGGCTACCCTCCACAAATCCTACTGTGCCATCTATACTAATGCAGCTAGTTCCCTCTACTATTCTATAAAAATTCACACTTCAGAGAATTGGCAGGTATAAACTAGAAATACTGGCATATCAATGAGGAAGAAGGGTGGGAACTGGATGAGAGGAGGTAAGCACCTATCGGAAATACATTTTCAGTGTAAGAAAATGTTAACTTCTGAAATGATCTTACTTCCTCTTACCCAGAGGTAGAATCCTACATTGCAAAGATGAAGATGCATCAATAGTCAGTTAAGCAGAAAGCAATCATACTGAAAGAACAGGTGTGCAAGAAAAACAAAAAATAAAGCACACCTATGGGCTATAAGAATTACAGGCATGAGTGTGATCATGAGGTTCTTCATTACCAGCCTGTTGTCAACATACATGTCATACTTCATTCAAATATGTAGCAGGCCATAATACCGAACATAGCGATGGTAAGTCATAGTATGGTGCCAGAGAAAAAATAATAATTAGACATGGCTAGGGCTAAAGGACCGTGAATTGTAAATGAATAGGTCAACTGTGGTCTGCCCAAGCAAAAAATATCCAGGGGAAGCACCTTGGAATACATTGGATTATACCAAGTGTGGTCCATCTTGACAAAAACATTCAGTTGGAGGCACCTTGGAATACATTGGATTATACCAAGTGTAGTCCATCTTGACAAAAACATTCAGTTGGAAGCACCTTGGAATACATTGGATTATACCAAGTGTGGTCCATCTTGACAAAAACATTCAGTTGGAAGCACCTTGGAATACATTGGATTATGCCAAGTGTGGTCCATCTTGACAAAAACATTCAGTTGGAAGCACCTTGCATAAGCTAGTGAGATTAACAAACACAGTCTTCCTGGGCAAAAAATATCCATGGGAAGTGCTTTGGATGGACAAGTATGGACAAGTGTAGTCCATCTGGACAAAAACATCCAGGAGAAACACCTTGGGATACATCATATTATGCCAAGTGCAGTTCATCCGGGCAAAAATATCAAGTGGAAGCACCTTGTATACAACTTAGAGATCGACAAGTGGAGTCTGCCAGGGCAACACCCAGGGTGAAGCACATTGGATACATAGGATTAGCTCAAGTGCATTCTTTCCAAGCAGAAAACATCCAGTGGAAGTGCCTTGCATATGAAATTGTGATCAACAAGTGCTGCCTGTCCGGGGAAAAAAGATCAAAGGGAAGCCCCTTGAATCATGAATAATTTGTATTGTATGATCATTGTTCAGTACAACAATGATTATAATAAAGATAGCCCTCTTCTTGCTGAGTGGATATACATGATCCTATTTTGTTTGGTATTCAAAACCCTCTCAGGAGAAAACCTCCTTGGTCCACCACTCCAGCGACTAGGAATCAGAAGGAGCAAGGACTCCCATGCTCCACTAGAAGAGCAGGGTGTGGCAATATGAATTGGGGAGTCCAGAGGAATGAAATACCCTGTGATTCCCTATTTTAAAAAGCAGAAAGATCCTGCTTTACTCATGTAGTCCAGGAGTGACAGTTCTTTATATATATATGAAATAGTGCTAAATGAAATTATACTTATATATATATACCACCAGACAAGCAGCTGGTATTCTTACAGAAACACCCAATCTCAACAGTGAGCATTATAAAAGTATGCAGATTAAGTGCTAATATAATAATAAACATACCTGACCAGGCAACACCCACTACCAGGTGGGATCCTGAAATATGATGTATGTCAACAAAATAATATTAAAAATAATAATATGTCGACTTACCCCAGTCAAAGGTGAACAGACATGTGTAGTATTGCAACAGGAGGAAGACAATACCTGCCCAAGGAAGACTCAGCTAGGTTGAGCAGATAATGTGCAACAAATGTCCACATACCAGCCTGAATGATCTCCTCTAAAGAAGGGTAGTTTTGAGCAGATAAAAACAGAGTTAGATGACTAATTTGGTGCAAAGAAACATTACATAGATGGCAACCTTCCATGGACTAGTCAGAATATGCCAGTGATATGAGTTGATAATACCAACCAGTGAGTGAAATAGGCGATAGATCATGGGAAACACAGGAATTGCATGGAAGGAATAGACAGGAACAATAACCACGAAAGGAGGCAATAAGAGCCATATAACACAGCAGGGAACGAATTAGACAACGTACTCAACCCGGATCCGAATGGGAGTACAGGTGGGAAATGGAAGATAAGGAAATAGGAGAAAAAGCTAAACAAACTTCCCAAGCAGCCAATATCCTTGGAAGGAAGGCCTGATCCAGATCGAGGATAACATACAAGGAATGGTAAAGGATGCAGGAAAGATTAATGGCATAAATATCTGAACAACGATGACTGCATGCCAGGAGGGGGAGGAATTATGTCTTAAGGGAAGGATGGTACAAATAACACATTGCAAAGAGTTCAAAGGGAGAATCAAACAGGGCATGAAGGACAACAATGAGATCCCAATCCAGCAGAACAAAGGAACATGGTGGATGGACCAGACAAAAGGAACAGAAAAGGAGGGAAATTACCAGGGAGGAGAAGGCTTTCTGGAAGAGGAAGAATGAAATGTGGTTCACAGGGTAGCTCTATAATGAGCAACAGTTGAAACAAAAAAACCTTGATTAAACAACCAGGTGAAGAACAGAAGGACAGGATGGTTGAAAACCATGGTGTCTAGCCAAAGTCAGAAGTAAGATCAATGCCACTGGTACATAGACAAGGAGGAGGGACAAATGGTATGGGCAAGGAAAAATGCTACATAAGGAGTGAGCCACTGAGCTGAAGCAAGGGACTAGACAAACTCCACATGTGAAGATGGAGTTTGGTGATGTTGTGATGAAATACGTTCGATCGTGTTTGTCATTGAAGTGATTGGGATAGAGGTAAAGGCAGAGGCTGTTTCTTCAGTATGAGCCGGAGCAGAAGGAACCACTTCTGAGCTGGCCAATACAAAGCAACCAGCAGAACATGACAAGGAGTGGTCTGGATAAGGGAAATGATTTTAGAGGTGAGTCTGATCAGAGGCATATAGGTGAAAATCCTTCCAATCATGACTGAAAGCATCCGCCCCGAGTTGAGGGGTGAGAAATGGAAGACTAAATGAAGAAAGTGTGGCATTCCATTGAGTGGCAAACACATATATATATATATATACAGTGTTCCCAGTTGAGAACACACCCACAGAAGTGCTTGAGGATAGAGGGACCACTCTGTTGGGAGAACATGGTTGGAACGGAATAAGTGATCGACCACAAGAATAATTATTCTGGAAACATGATACGCCAGAACCGTCATGTTGAGGTCATTCACTTAGTGCAGGAGATCCAGAGTCTGAAACACAAATCTAAACTTGGTTCCCCCTTGCTTGGTGATATAGTTGACAACAGTGGAATTGTCAGTATGAACCATAACTACCCACCCCCACAGAAGTGGGAAGAAATGAGACAAAGCCTGATGAACTGCCATAGGTTCTAGGATGTTGATATGGAGAGAAACCTTCTCTACTGACCACAGACCCAAAATCTCCTGGCAACAAGTAATATTTTGTTGTTAATCTCACCTTGGCTTCAGACACTTTCAACACTAGACTGACAGTACTATACTGTTGTAAGCCTCACATTGTTTTCAACATTTAATAATAAATAATATAATTATTGTTAATCTCACCTTGGCTTCAGACACTTTCAACACTAGACTGACAGTACTATACTGTTGTAAACCACATATTGATTTCAACATTTAATAATAAACAATATTTGTTGTTAATCTCATCTTGGCTTCAGACACTTTCAACACTAGACTGACAGTAGTATACTGTTGTCAATCTTATATTGATTTCAACATTTAATAATAAGTAATATTTGTTGTTAATCTCACCTTGGCTTCAGACACTTTCAACACTAGATTGACAGTAGTATACTGCTGTCAACCTCACATGGATTTCAACATTTAATAATAAATAATATTTGTTGTTAATCTCACCTTGGCTTCAGACACTTTCAACACTAGATTGACAGTAGTATACTGCTGTCAACCTCACATGGATTTCAACATTTAATAATAAATAATATTTGTTGTTAATCTCACCTTAGCTTCAGACACTTTCAACACTAGACAATCCCAAGCAGACTGAAGATCATGCATTTCAAGTGTGATGGCATTTTTTCCTGTAGGATGTGTTGTGTGAATTGTTTTTTCTCCAGCACTTAAAGCACCGTGGACAAGAGCTTGACCTTCTTCTTGTTTTCTAGTAACTTCCTGCTAAAAACCATAGTTAAAGTTAAAATATACTGTAACACAGTGTTTTTAAAACTTTATAAAAACAGTGATACCTCAGATTTTGAAATCAAAATAATGCTATATAAAACATTTATAAATGACATAAATAAACAAATAACTTTGTAATCCAGGACAGTAACATGTATTAGTTCACAAAACTTCCATCAAGTGTGAACCAAGTAGCTTCAGCAAGTGAATTTTGTCCATGAAATCTACATAAAATTAAAATAATCAGCTTTATGAAAATACAAAAATTTTGACAATATAAGCTCCAATAAAATATTTTATATCATTATGTTATTACATGGTGTAGACCAACTAATCACATCAAGGGATCCTAGTTCACAAAACTATAACCAGGGATATACCAACTAGACAGACTATGGAATCTCTGTTCATGAAACTATTACCAGGTGTAGACTAAATAGACAGACTATGGAATCTCTGTTCATGAAACTATTACCAGGTGTAGACTAAATAGACAGACTATGGAATCTCTGTTCATGAAACTATTACCAGTATTTAGACTAACTAGACATACTATGGAATCTCTGTTCATGAAACTATTACCAGGTATTAGACTAACTAGACATACTATGGAATCTCTGTTCATGAAACTATTACCAGTATTTAGACTAACTAGACAGACTATAGAATCTCTGTTCATGAAACTATTACCAGTATTTAGACTAACTAGACAGACTATGGAATCTCTGTTCATGAAACTATTACCAGTATTTAGACTAACTATACAGACTATGGAATCTCTGTTCATGAAACTATTACCAGTATTTAGACTAACTGGACAGACTATGGAATCTCTGTTCATGAAACTATTACCAGTATTTAGACTAACTAGACAGATTATGGAATATCTGTTCCTGAAACTATAATCAGGTGTACACCAACTAACCAGATTAAAGTGGCTGAAATGTAACACTTATTAATTACAAGCAAATAGGGAGCTGAACAGAATAGTTTTGTGGTGGCTAAAACTTAATATCTAGTAATTAAAGAATGTGGAACAAAGGAATTGGCTGTGGCTACATTATAACACCTTATAATTAAATAATGTGGAACAAAAGACTTGGCTGAGGCTACATTTTTACACCTTGTAATTAAATAATGTGGAACAAAAGACTTGGCTGAGGCTACATTATAGCACCTTGTAATTTTAGAATGTTGAATACAGAAGTTTGGTAGTGGATACATTACAACACCTTGTAATTAATGAATGTGAAT